ACATGTTTTTAACTGATATGTTTTCAAAATAATCGATTGATTTCATTAAAGGAAGTTTTGAAAACCTTCTGTTAGTATTTTAACTGATATAGTTTTGAAATAACCGATTAAAATCACTTAAAATGTTCAGGGAAGTGTTCTGGAAGTATTTTAATCGATATAACTTCGAAATAATCGATTAAAACCACTTCGAGTATTTGTTGACTGATCAGAATGAGCATATGATCGATCAGAATAAGTTTTTGATCGATCAGAATAATTTTAATCGATTAAACTGCGTTTTAATCGATTAAAACAACTTAAGAGAATTTCTACTACGCGTTTTAATCGATTAAAACAGATTGTTATCAGTTAAAATCACTTAGAAAAGTTTATAAGAATGTTTTGCAGTATTTTAATCGATTGAAACACGAAACAATCGATTAAAACAGTTTGGAGGATTTTTTACAAAGAGTTTTAATTGATATAAACGGTGTCGTATCAGTTAAAACAAATCTGGAAAATAATCAAGAACATTTTAACAGATTAAAAGAAGTTTTAACAGATTAAAACAAGACTTTTAAAAAGATTAAAAGATTATTTTAACAGATTAAATAAACCAGCAGTTTTGAAAATCCTCTATATAAACAGAGTTGTTTGAACTTTTTATAAGACATCTTTTAGCAATCAATTAAGCAAGCATAAGTGTTACTTTCAAGAAAGAATCGCGCTAGTTTTTGTGAAGTTCATAGTAGTTCTTTCTTGAGGCAAAATTGCATTCTTTTGGAGAAGAAACACATACTGCAGAGTTGTATAAATCTGGTTTGAGCGTTCTAAGTTTCTTCTATTTGTTTCTTTACTTTCTTTACTGTATTGTGGGTGCCTGGAATTGTGGGCATTGGTTTCTGTAGCTGGAATTTGGCTACAGGGTTGGTCAAGAACTGGAATTTGGTTCTTGGTGAAGGTTTAGGTGCAGGAACTGGAATTGTGGTTCTTGTGGTAGATTGAGTGTGAGATTAAAGTTGTAATCTGTAAAACATTCAATCTAGTGGAACCCAGCTGGAATTTGGCTGGAGACTGGACGTAGCCCTAGGATTGGGTGAACCAGTATAAACCTTGGTTGTATCTTTCTAAACCTTTCTCTCCTTTAATTCTGTCACTGCATTTAGTTTTGATTGCTTGCTGTGTATGATTCAAGAACTGATCTGAAATCTTAATCTTTGAAATAGATAATCTGTAATTTGCGAAAATCTTTCAAAGATCAATTCACCCCCCCTCTTGATCTCAGCCTACATTTCTAACAGTATTACTCTCCTTCTTTGTTTTCCTTATATCTGTGCACTTATATCTTTCCTTACATCTCTCTGATTATATCGCTTCCGCTTTATCTTTGTTCAATTTGATAATTAAAATTGAATTAATAAATATGGGACATCTTAAAATAAATTTTTAATTTGGCATCTATTTTAATTTTTGCATCTATTCACCCCCTCTAGATGTCATTTGTCTAACAATGAGGGTAATTGTATGCATGTATACTACATTCAACACATTGCACAAAATTTTATGAGAATATTCAAGAATGCAACTCTCAAAAAAGACCTTGTCAATATGGGTAACAACTTCTATTCTATCTAAACTATTTTACCATGTCATCTTATCTATTCTATGTTAACTTTTATTACTTCAATATGCAGCATACGCAATGACTGAACCAAGAGCAAACTACTACTACTACAATAGCAGAAGACAAGTCAATCCAAAAGTAGTAACCTGGATTGACGAAATTCTAAGGAACAAATGGGGCACTTGCATATGATGATAGAAGATGGGGTCACCTAATAACCAACTTAGCTAAATCCATCAATTCAGAGAAAACAAGGAATCTACCAATCTCCTCTATGGTCAAGGCCATATACACAAGATGCAACAAATTTTTCACACAGAAAGAGGGAGGCAACTCACAACAATGTTTAATGTTGGTCATGTCCATTCAGAAGTTGCATCAAAGATTTTACAAGATGCTTATACAAAATCAAACACTCATAGGGTGCTTGAATTCTATAGAAGCAGCACAAGATTCTTGGTGGAGGAGATCGTCAACCCAAGAGAAGTTTGACCTGTTGGTAATTTTGTTGTTAGACTAGATGAAGCTTGGTGTGACTGTGGAAAGCTCCAAAAACTTCATCTACCATGTTCTCATGTGGTTGCAATGTGCAAACATGCTCACCACAATTATGAGATGTGCATCAATCATGCTTACAGGTTGGATGTAGTCAACAAAGTGTATGACAATTTGTTTGGAGAGCTTAGGCATGAAGATTATTGGTCATCACATCAAGACCCACAACTTTGCCCCAATCCATGAACAAGAAGTTCCAAGGTCGTCCGAAATTAACACGAATTAAGACAGAAATAGATATCTGCGAAGAAGATAACCCAAAAAAATGTTCCTATTATCACACTCCAGGTCACACAAAAAATCATTGTCAGCATAACCCTGGTCTTAGGGGATTAACTTCTCATAGATAAATTTGTTGTATTTTTGTAATATGGCATTACAATAAATAAATAAATAAATATTCTACTCATTTGTGATTTTCTAACTTTTTTATTCATGTTTCATTAATTTAATATCTAAAATATCAATTCAATTCAATTCAAATTGTATATCTTACTCAAATTATGTAATTCAAATTTCTATTTATACATAATTTTAACAAAATATTTATACCAATTGAATCAAAATTAAATAAATTATTTTTAGTATAAATATATATATATATATATATATTAAATATATAAATATAAATATGTATATATATAAATAGAAAATTATAATTTGTATTTCCTAAAAATATTTAATTTTATATTGAATAAATATTTCAGTACTATATATAATTTAATAAAGTTATTATGTATATTAAAAATGTATTTATTAAATATTTAAATATATATATTTATATATTTTTATAAAAAATATTCTTTTTACTTACTAAAATTATTTTATATTAAAAATATAATTAAATAATATATATAACTTATTTATGTAAAAATGTTATATAGAAAGATATAAATTTATATGTATTAAATACATAAAAATACATGTATTTATTATATTTATAAAAACATAAATAAATATTTAAATATTATATATATACATATATATATATTAAATATATTATTTACTATATTTATAAAAATATATTAATAATATAATTACATAAATATATTTTTATGTTATATAAACCTTATTCTATATATATATATATATATAAAGACATATTTGTCCTTGGGGGACTCGAGTTAGCTTCTTCATCCGGAGGGTCATAAATTGGCTCATGTCGGACTTCGATCTGGAGATATTGGTCATGAGTATCGTGTAAGATCTTCATAGCGTGACTGCATTTGATTCATATATATATATATATATATATATATATATATATATATATATATATATATATATATATATATATATATATATATATATATATATATATATATATATATATATATATTAAACCTTGATTATCTCTACTTGGAATATTGTTGTAAGATTGCATGCACATGAAATGATTTGTGGAATAAGTGTGGGGGAAGACAAGGGTTGGTCCTGGGAGAAAGTGAGTCACTGCGAAATGTTGTGAAACAAATGTATTGTCATTGTTGAACCTAACGTCAACTTACTACTAATGATGGGGATTGAAAGGAACTAAAAGTATTTAAATAATTATTTTTTTCTTTCCCATTACAAAGTCTTCCTCTAACGTCTCAAAAGTAGTATTATCTTATAAAATTAAAATAAATAGGTTTGTCATAATTATCTAAAGAATATTATTCAAAAATTGTAAAATATATATTAAAATTTATTGTAGAAAAGGATATACTATTTTTATTCCTCCTTATACAAGCAGGTTGGGATTATTGTCAAAGTATTAAAATTTAGAAATAATAAATTCATTAAACTTGTAGTCCGTACAATTCAATAATATTATTAGATAGACATAATTATAAAGGAGATAAAATTAGAATAAGATTTATAAGAAAAATTTTATATTTTTAAGTACCTAATATAATATCCTGTTGAGGATAATAAAGAAATGACTTAATCATCTTCAAAAATATATATTTTTTTATTAATCATTGAAGGTAAGTACATATGTACATAATTTCTAAAAAAGTTATATATATATATATATATATATATATATATATATATATATATATATATATAAGTAGGTCCTATATATTATTATTATTAAAATATAATTTAATGTTTATATATAGATTAAATTATAGTTTATCACATCATAAAGATAATAAATTATATTTTAATAATAATTAGATATTTATTTAAAATGAAAATTATTCTTAAAAAATATTTTTAAGATTTTTATTTTTATTCATTTAAACTGTGGAACTAAATTAAAAATTTTATATATTTTAAAGGACTAGTCGTACAACCATATTTCTTTTTAAAATTTTAATATATATATATATATATATATATATATATATATATATATGATAAATAGTTATTAATATAAGCATACTACAATAATTCATTTTTGAACCATTCTTAAAATACTGAAATTAATTTTAAAATTATCATTCTATGTTTTTAATAATGACTTGTTTATGATATCATCTTTTATCTGTTTTGAATTACTAATATAGTGTATATTAATGAACAATAAGAAGAAAAAATTAGAATGATATGACAAGATTTGTGATAATAAATTTTGATCTCACCAAACGCGTAAAGAAATTCTTAATGGAATACTAAGTTAAAAATAACTTTTAAAAATTATATGAAGCCAAAATTTGCATTGCATTAACGTGTTATTGTTGACATTATACAGTGTATGATTAGGTTGATTGTTATTAAATAGAATTGAAAATAAATATGTATTTGATGAATAAATGAAATTGTATGAAATTATGATGACTTATATGATTGTAATTGAATGAAACTTTTATAGGTGAAAATTAAATGTTTAATTTGCTAAAAACTTTAGATTGTAGGGTATTTAATACGTAGGAAATATGATTGTGAAACATCGAGAAGGAGGTCTATGAGCAACAGAGTTTTATGGAAAAAGACCAACTTCCAATTTAATTTTTCAGTAAACTTATAATAACCAAATTAGTCATACATAAATATTTTTATATAGTACAGTAGACTTAAAATATAAATATAAATGATAAATATTAAAGACTATAAAAGATATGGATAAAAAAAAAAAAAGAGTAAGATATAATTTTTTTTAATAAAGATAATAATATCAAAGGAAGACCAAATACAACAACAAAAAACACATAAACACTTAGATAATATATGATGGAAGTTGCTTATTGATATTCTTAATTCAAGTATTAATTGTTTATAATATTTTTTTATTAGAAAATTTTTATGTGACATAGTGCTTAAATTTTTATGTAGTTTCTTTTTCAAGTAATTTAGAATATCTTCAAAATGAGTTTTTAACTAGAATTATATAAGAATCAAATTGAATATTTTATTATAGATTTTTCATTTAAATTGTTTAAAACTTGGTCAAATTTACTTATTCAAACAACTTTTTTTAATTTTAAATAATTTTTTCCAGTTTTAAGCAACTTAAACGTAAGATCTATGATAAAATATATATTTTTATTTTTAAATAGTTATTGGTAGCAACTCCCTTTATATATGTTCCCCAATAAAATCAACTCATATAAGTTATTTTTTATCTTGGAAAATATAAAATAGAAATTTATAATAGCACATAATTTTTAAATAATTTATTATTAATTTTATTTCATCACAATTTTTTTTAATAAATTCTAAAATATTCATTCCTTCTCTTTTATTATTTTGATTTATTTATTTTTATAAATTATTTGATGAAATAATTATAAAAAAATTTAAACAATATGTGTTATAAAATTTCTCTAATATAAAATTATTTTAAGAATTTTTTATAAGAGTAAAATTAACGTTAAATTACTTAAAAATTATGTAAAATCATAAAAAAAATTATATTTTTAAAGATAAAAATAAATTAATAAGAGTTGCTACTGGTAAACCTACTCAGTTACCATATAAAATTTTAGTAAGATGGGACCCATTGGGGAACACATTCAAACCTCCCTAGCAGCTACAACTACTAACCTTTAAATGTTGAAAGTGGAGGAAACTCTAGATTTTTCTCTTATTGAACAAGGACCTTTCACTTATGGAAAACTAGGATATTCACGTGCGATTACACCAATAAAAAAGGAGCACAATAAGAGCATAAGAGGGGATTCCAATACCCAAAAAAGAGCCAATGAGTCTTTACCAAAAATAGATAAAATATTTAGTTTTTTAATTATTATTTAATAAGTTCATTCAGAATTAAAGATAAAAATTAAATACAAGTTTGCTAATTTTTATTTAACATAAAATTTAAATTAAATTAAACCAATATTCTGTTTAATGACTTGAGTTAAATTTTGTTTTACCCATTTTTGTATTTTAAATTAGTTTTTTATAATTTATCTAATTTGTTCTATTTTTATATTATGATAATTATATTTTGTGTATATTATCCCTGATATTTATTAAGAATATATTATAAAATTAAAATAGAAAGCGCGTGTATGGAAAGAACAGAGGCGCGTGGGTTGAATATAATTGAGGTAGATATGCAATGATAGCGGGAGAGGGTGGCTGGGCGAGGGAGCACCACGTGTGAAGAGGATGGCAATTGGCCAATTTTTGAATTGATTGGAAGAAGAAGTGGGTCCCACAACCCCTTCCACAAAGGGGCGTGGCGTATCTGAGGCCTATTTTGGTGGGCTTTGATTGGTCACGCGGTGAGCTCAAGGCCCAATGAGGTTCAACTTCGTGTCATGCACTCATTCAAACATGGACGCTACGTGGCTTCTTCCCAGGGAACACCATATTACTTCAATATTCTTACATCCCATCCTTTTCACCACTTTTCTACGCTACTTTTATTCTTACATCGATCTTTCGTTGTTAATTATTATTATTATTATCATTGTCTAAGGAAATTATAATTAAAGAAGATTAGATACTCAAGTTAATTAATAAATATATGAAATAATAGGTACATCATAAATTAGTAAGTATATTGTACAAGATACACCTATAACATCAAGTGGAAGATTATATGTCGAATTAAATTGAGAAAACTCAGAATCAGAAATTTTAGATATTATAAAAATTAATTATTATATAAAAATAAATAAATTATATAAAATATTTAACAATATATTTAATATTATTAATTAAATTTAAAATTTAAAATTATATTTTATCTATCTTCTCTTTTTTTTAAAAAATCAATCTATAATTTTTTTAACATCTTTAAAAATCAAATTGAATTTTTCTTCACATTTTAATATCAAAATAAAATATCATAAAATATTAAATTAATAAATAATTAATAATAAATAAATAAATTATATCATTTTTTTCATTTGTTTATATTATAGTACTTCAAATGTTAAATTATTATAATAATAAATAAAAACAAAAAAGAAAATAAATTTGTTATTTTCTTTACTTCAAATAAATTATAATGAGGTATTTTCTTTAATTTTTAACTTTTTTCTTATTTCTTCAATGTGAAAAAAAAACTAAAGAATAAAAAATTAAAACTTTTATACAAGATGAAACTATAAAAAAAAAAAGAAAAAATTGAAAATTATAGAAAAACCTTATAAATTTTTATGTTGTAAGGGAAATAATATAAGAGTGAATGAGTGTAAAATAAAATATAGGGATGTGAAAAGATAGAATGAATTTCTAACAGAAAAAGTTGAAGTGAGAAAATTAATAGATGAGAGAAAATAAAAATATAAAGATAAAAAAGAAAGAGAAAATAATGTAATAAAATGGTAGAAAAGAATAAATATGATATTTTTATAAGTAAAAAATTAAGAAAAAATAAAATAAAATAATTTATTTTATTTTATTTATAAAATAATTTATTTTTATTTTATTTATAAAATAATTTATTTTCAATTATATTTATAAAATAAATTTTATTTAATTTTCAAAAATAATAATCATATATATATATATATATATATATATATATATATATATATATATATATATATATATATATATATATATATATATATATATATATAAATTTTGGTGGTGGGGCGTGACCCACCCATAAATCCGCCTCTAAAAATGAATTTTTACTGTTAATGTTAAAATAATTAAAAACTATCTTGGATTTTATTTAGTTAAAAAACTTACTAAAAACATTTTTTTTCATTATTATAGAATATTTTATTAAGTAATGATAAGAATTATATATATATATATATATATATATATATATATATATTTTGAGATTATTCATGGTATAATTTTTTTTTTTTTATGAATGAAAAACTTTATTGTCTTAGATGAATCTGGATATAAAAATAAAAAGTAAAAATAATTGATGGTATTTTTAGCTCATGATTGTTGATTCAATTATTAAATTTCTAATTTACATCTTTTAACTATTCAAACTAATTAGATGAGTTCCAACCAAATCAATCATTGAATATATTATTTAATTTTCAAGACAAAATTATATATATATATATATATATATATATATATTTATAAATAAAATATATATTTTTAAAATAAAAATATTACATATTTATATGATAGAAAATCTGAATTACTATTTTTAAAATTGGATTGGATCGGTAGATTTCACTGATTGAATTGAATCGAGTTAATTGTTTTTAAATAGTTGAGTTTTAATTAAATCGAAATAAAATCTGTTGGATAAATTTTTGAGAATAAAAAAAAATATGATTATATTTTTTTAATATATTTTTTAATAAAATATATAATATATTTTAATTTTTTTATCTTATAATAATTATTTAAATTTTAAATAATAATTATTTTATTATATTTTTATCTTATTTAAATAATTATTTATTTTTTATTCTTTAATATATTTTATATTTATAATTTTTATTATAATTTAGTATAATTAAATTTATTATTTTTATTATTTTTTATAAAAAAATATTATTACTCATAAATTTATTATATTTTAAAATATTATTTTATTAAATTTAATTTTTTCGATTCACTGATTGCTTAAACTCAACATTCATATCTTCGTCCATCCGATTTTAAAAACATAAATATAAACTTAATCAACCCATTTTTATCATATTGGTTTAGTATTATTATTATTATTCCGTTTGAATTTAAAAAAAAAATCTTAATAATCAATAAAATAATTAATTTAAATTTATTTATCTCAATTATCCTATCTTTAATAGTGCATATATGTTTGGTGAGGAAAAGTAAAGAAGTTTAATTATTTCCCATTCAAATCAAGCAACTTTGAAGTTATATTTTTCTCTCTTTTTCTTGCACTACAATGAGTTTGATTCTCATTGGGCATTGATGTTGGAACCCTAGAAAATGAAATTTGCCTAACTCTTTTAGTAATAGCAGTACACTATCATAGAACTGTTTAATAGAAAGATTCATATTGGGATAACAAAAACTATTGGTTTTTCTAGATGCATGATTTGAGTCATAAACCAAACATATATATCTCTATTTCAAAATTCCCAAGTACCATTTGAAGAGTATATTTATATGACATGCAGCAGCCTCTTCAATATTCAAACTCAGAATTTCAATTCAGAGTTTCACAATGCAATTATTTTAGTTGCAGGTCATTTAATCACAAGTTTGATAGGTTTATGGGCCCATCATCTACCTAAAAAAAATGAAATGAAAAGATATATGCATGCCAGGAACGCGGTGGATTTTTTGAGAACCAAATAATATATTATTAATAAATAATAAATAAATATAAAAGAAAAAAAAAGATAAAAAGATGAAAGGATAAAATTATAAATATATATAAATATATTAAATAATCATTAAATTTGAGGGAGACAAAATCATAAATTATATAAGAGTTACAAAATTAAAGAGAAATTAAGAAATAATCATTAAATTTGAGGGAGACAAAATCATAAATCATATAAGAGTTACAAAATTAAAGAAAAATTAAGAAAATAGAATTATAAATATACAATTAAATATATTAAATATTCATTAACTTAATAATAACAAAAAGAATTACAAAATTTAGAGATTCCCAATTTCCTGCACTTCCAACAAAATCTTCCTATGATTGGCATATCATGATTCTCCACACTAGTAAAATCCTATGTACCCCTATATACTTTATTATCTAATACCTATATTTGTCTAGGATTTTTTTTATTTTAATTATATAACTTTGTTCATGTTTAATGATTTTTCAATTCCCTAGAAAAATTTCTCTCAACTTCAGCGCAGATATGTGTATAAATTAGTGTGATTTCTTATTTTTATTTTATTAAAATTATTATTAAATATATGAAAATTTTTATTTTTATTTTTTAATTTTATATATTTAAATATATTACTTATTATTTCATGATAAATTTTTGTAATTAAAAATATATAAATATATTATTTGACTTAAATAAAATTATATATTTTATTTGTTTCTTTTTTATTATTATTTTTAGTTAACTAAAATAATTTTTTATCTTTTTTTATCATTTTATTTTTTTTACATATTTTTTTTATTTCATAATTTTTTTATTTTTTATTTATTTTATCTCCACTTATTTAAAATCTTAAATCCGCCACTACCTTAATATTTATCCAATTATCAGAATGATTGATGATTAGTTTCTCTTGAAAAGCTGTCTAATTATTTTTTAGTGAATTTTTTCTTTTAATATTTTTATTTATAAAAATCCAAGATGAAACTTAATTAAAAATATCAAATAAAAATGTTTGTACAATACTACTAAAAAAAAAGTATAATAAGTTATGTTTATTCTTTTCATTTTAAATTGATATTAGTAAAACTTTTATATCAGTCGATTATATAATCGATGTATATAATTTAAATCTTTTATTTTAAGATTAACTTTATCAAATCAATATTTTTTTATTTAATCTTTTTCAATACAATTATTTTTTATTTTGTATACCTATTAACATTTAACTAAGATTTTAAAATAACAAAATCAAACGTTTAGTAAATATTGAAAAGATTAGTCATAAATAAACTATTTTTTAGTCATTATCTAAGTTATTATACGTATTGAAATTGAGTTGCGAAGACTCGTGATGTATGTTAATATAATGTTATAGCTGTCGATTTCAAGTCATAATGTTTCCAATTTACTAGGTTAATTTAAATATTTTTATAAATTGAAAATCGAAGAGATTGTTAACGATATTAAAAGAACTCTATAATAACTTTGATTACAACACTACATGTGTCATCTACAACCTTACTCTAATGATAGTTTTTGAGTATTAGAAAAACAAATGGTTCGAACCGTACTTGCCTTAGCAAGCCCTCAAGGTTTCTAGTGGTCTGGCAAATTTGATGGACGATGCACTGTTATGATCATAATTTTTGGTATAACAGATTAAATTTGATTGAAAATTAAAAATATATATATATATATATTAATGTATTTATATAAAATTAAATAATTAAAAAATATTTGAATAAAAAATTAAAAATATATTTTAGATATTTAAATTATATAAAAAGATTATTTTTATTTTAAATATAATTATTTAATATATAAATGATAAGAAAATTTTTTATTTAATCATAAAATAAAAATTAAAAAAATATTTTTTAATTTTTATGATTTATTAATTTAAATTAATAATTTATTTTAATTATTAGATTGAGAAATAAGTAAATATTGTAAATTTTTTATTTTTAAAATAAATAAATATTTTATCAAATTAATTTAAAGGAGTCAAGATGCTGATAGAGTTCTATGATACGATTATTAACAAAAGGCCCCAATTATAGGAGTCCAGTCCACATAGAATAATTGGGTCAAATGTTGTACTTAAGCCCATATGTTGGAGAGAAACAGAGAAACCAAAATGGTTCGTAAATTACGTCAGAAATCTAATTGGGCAATGTTTATATTGTTAATTTGTTTTACAGTCTATTGATCCTTGTGACACGGTAACGAGAATTGGTCATCATACAATACTGGCGTCATGAATGAGAAGGAAGTGAAGATTGAACAATTTTTCTACGGGATGTAACTTTAGTTTGCTACTGTTGCGACAGAGATGGCTAATCTCCGAAATCAGATTCCACCTCCTTCCTGGACGTTTAGTCCTTGCTCATCCTCATCCTCACCCTTGTCAGAGTGGACATTTCAAGCGGAGCAGTATTTCGGACTGACACAGACCACCCTCGTGCAAAAATGGCCCTGCTGCCCTTCTTTATGCAGGGGAGTGCACTAGCTCGGTTTCAATGGATGCACTCCAACAATCAACACTCCACATTTGCTTTGGGCCATCATCTTCTTATGACAATCACGAAGCAAATTTGCTCAAGTTGCAACAGACGAGTTCAGTTAGAGAATATTTGGGTTACCACCGAAAGCATGGTTGAACTTCTTCATTTCCGGTTTGAAGGATGGCATCAGACCTGAGCTAGCGGTGCTACGACCACATTCCTTGTCACTCACCATAAGTCTGTCAAAACTACTTGAAGATAAGTTTCCAGATGCTCGATGCACTTTACTTCGCATCTCGTGTTTCAGTATATTCTTTTTAACAAAAATTGAATTTTATTGATTCTAGGTCATTACCAAAATAAAAATTCTAGACTATCCTAAAAAAAAACTATTATTGTCTCGCTATAATTAAAATAAGAATTCTCAAAATCAAAAGAATATATATTAATAAAATCAAAATATTTTAACAAATTTTAATTTAATTATCTTTTATTTAATTTTATTTAGCAAAATTCCTTTATAAAGTTAAATCTTTCCTTGTAATAAAAATAAGATCGATGACGACCAAGAGATTGACTTCTGAAACAACACGAAGACGATCCCTTAGTTTCTCAAAGTTATCGACTCATTCTAGTCAATCCACTTGAGAAATCCTTGAAATCTCTCTTATTATCTTTCTGTTGTTTCTCAAAGTTATTACCTTATTCTTGTCAATCCACCTCAGAAATCCTCGACATCTCCTTGTCACCTTTTTCTCGTGGATCTGACGACTTAAATCCTCTCTCTTCTTTTGCATTTCCCTCTCGCTACTCCTTGTCCTTCAGTTTGCACTCCACACATGCCAACTCCTTGAACAACAGTGACATCGCATTCAACTTGTCATCATTCACAATAGGTTGTTTGATCACCTCAATGGTAACGAAGAAGGAGGAATGGACTGCAAGGGAGGTCTCGAGAGCCTCCTATAACTAGAGGTTGAAGGTAAAGTCGAGGTCAAATTCCATGGCATGTACCGTGCTAGTGTCATTTCCAACCACCGACTTAGAAATCTCAAATATTAAATTATCATCAAGGTCACAAATAGCAACCCCTATCCCATAGAGGACAACTCTCTTCCCCTTGTTGTTTACCTTGCTTACCAAACCCTTGAAGTAAACCCAAAACAAGTCTTCATCTACAACAACTTAGGTCTTCTTGTCTACAACAATTCGGATTATTTTGTCCAAAATAGCTCAAATATTTTCATCCACAATAGACCAAATCATTTTGCTCATAACAACTCAGATCTTTTTGTACGCTTAGACAAGGTCACTTTTGGAATCTACTATTCAAACTTAGCTCGACCTTAGCTCGAACCTTGCAAAATTTCTCTTTGTACTCAACAATTTTCTGAAGTATGGTCCTCACCTGTTTATCAACCACACCTTTGCAAACTCTCCCCTCCATGCTCGGCAATTCGAGCACCATGCTCTTCATGCTTTTCTTCAACTTCAGACTGGAATAAGTGAGAGATCTGAATGTGTTACAATTGTAGTAGCTCAACTTCCTCTAACATCCTTTAATAAGTCTCCTTCTTCCTAATTCCACTCACTTGTTTCATTATCACAATCAACATCATAATTATCATTATGAATAAACTCAGTTAGGTTATAAAAATGTAGGTGGCCAGATCGATGATCTCTCTTCAATGTGTTCTTTACATTTAGTTTTAGACACCTCTCTCAAATGCTTCTCAGTTGCAACTTGTACGTTCTATTCTTCCCCATCTCTATTCGAGCAATCAACCTTTCAAGCTTGTCCTTGAACTATAGTACTTGGTCTTTCTTGGAAATTGAGTATCCTTTCTCCATTAGTTGTCTCATACTCAAAAAGTTACTCATGAGATCTAGAACATAAAATGTTAACCATACAAGGATATGAAACTTGCAGATTTTTATGATGATTCAAGAACAAAGGACTTAGAGATTTGAAGACTTGTAATCTTATGTAATAACTCTGTTTTTATGTTTTTAAGTCTGTAATATTAAAGTCCAAGATAGTCAGCACATAGACCATCCTTTAAAACCTCTAAAAACTCATTTTTATCAAAAATACACTGTGATAATCGATTATCACTCAGGATAATCGATTATTACAACAAGAAAATTGTTTTCAGGAATAACTCACTGTGATAATCGATTATCACTTAGGATAATCGATTATCACAGGCAAATAATCGATTATTTGGCCAGATAATCGATTATCCTGGTCCAGTTTTGTTCCTCTGCGAAAATGGCTCTGGAATAATCGATTATCACTCAAGATAATCGATTATTTACGTCTGTTATGAGTTTTGAAATTCAAATTTGGACCAATTTACGAAAACCCTATTCCCAATTCTTCTGTTTTCGAAAATCACCATTTCCTAGACCCTATTCTCTCTACTTAAGGTTCTCTAAGGCTCTCTGCAAATGAACAAACCTTTTTCATACAAAATTTAAGAGTTGTGACTGCGAGAACTTTCTGTAGGGAAGAAAAAGGGGCTTTTGAAAACCTAGTGTGGGATAGAAGAGATAAGAATCACTAAGTGGGTTTCTTGGTGGATTGTGTGATGTGCCGTCTCTAGGAAAAGTTGTTCTTCATCCTTTATGGATTCAAATGAGGTGTTCATCTCTTGTGTGACTCAAGAGATGTGTTTTCTATTCCTTATCTTTTCAATTTGTAATCTATTTGTAAACTGTGATTATAGTGACAACATTAATCCTCTTTTTGAGTGATTAGCAACTGGACGTAGGGTCTTTTGATCCGAACTAGTATAAATCAAATGTGTAATATTCTTTCCCTTATCTATTTACTTTACACAACATTTTAATCGGTGAAATTTGGGAAAAATTTTAAAACCCTAATTTTTGTTTAAGAAACCAATTCACCCCCCCTGTCTTAGTTTTTGTCCGTAAACATAAACATTTCGTTGCGCGATTCTAACATAAAACATATGTTTGATTGACTCGACTAGGCCATCTTTATGTAAGAGACAAATAGTACGTTGACTTTTTACCGAAACCTTCGAGTCATCTTTAATTTTGAATTGAAAAATCCTAAGGGAAATTGGCTATTTCCTTTTTCGATGTGAATTTCATATAATAGGGAGGTTGCTCCATTTCTATATTAAATTTTTATTCTAGATATATTAAATTTTGATTTTCATATTTATTTCTATATTTTTATAATTTTATACGTTTTTTTAGTTTAGAATAGAATTTTAGAATATAAAAATTTTTATGAGAAGTAACTAACCAACTTCTAGGAGAAACATAATTGGCTGCATTAATCTCTTTAGCTACGCCACCCACAAAATTTAAGGAACCTAAAGCAGCATGAGTCATATATTTTGCAGAACGACATCTAATTTTCACTTAAATATGACTTATTTTTATAGAAAAAATGATCGTATAATTAGCGTATTCCAAATAGTAGAAATCAATTAATTTATACCTGAGAATTGCGTCCAATTTTTATTATTTCAAATTATTTTTACAATTTTGGTATCCTTTTAAAAAAATGGGGTCAAAAAAGACTTTCGAAAGATTTTATCCAATTTTAATTTTTAAAATAACTCGGAATAAGCTTAAGAATTCAATAATTGAAATTGAATAAGTAAATAATGCAAGTGGATTGGTTGCTTATTCAACTTTTGTCTCCTCTATGAGATGTCTCGCCTTTTTCCTAGTTTGACATTCTTTTGCAAAATGTTCAATCTCAACACAATTGTAACACTTGTCCGAGTAACAATCAATTGCGTAGTGACCATATTTGTCACACTTAAAAGCACTTAACATTATAGATCGGTGACCGACCTTCTCTCTAACACTACAACAATTTTACATATTAGCTATGACACATTCCGTAGCTATTTTATAGCTAATCTCTCGCTGATACATTTTGCTATAAATTAGTTATGGAATAACTATGAAATATTTTGTCGCTAAATCCAAGTAGCTAATTAGATAGAAATATATTCCCTCTCAAATTTGTAGCAAATTTTGTCGTCAATCTGTCGCTAAGTCCCTTGTTAATTTAAGTGATAAAATTTTGTCTTTCTCTAGCTAATTGATCTCCTAAATTTCTAGTTAACTTGTAGCTAATTCGTAGCTAATCCCTCTCAATTTTCTCTTGCTAATTCGTAGTTAATCCCTCACAATTTTTCTCTCGCTAATCCGTAGGTAATCCCTTGCAATTTTGCTCTTGCTAATTCGTAGTTAATCCCTCACAATATTTCTATCACTAATCTGTAGATAATCCCTGACAATTTATCTCTAGCTGATCTGGAGTTAATTCTTCACAATTATTTCCTCGCTAATCCGTAGCTAATCCTTCACAATGTTTCTCTCGCTATTTCGTAGCTAATCCCTCACAATTATTTGTCGCTACTATATATCAAAATTATTTTTTCGCTAATCCGTAGCTAATCTCTCACAATTTTATTTACAAGTAATTTACTAATTATTATTATTGACGTAGTAGATATTCTTGCTAAAGTATCATCATAACATTATAATATCAAATATGTAACATTTAAATTATTACTCATATTCTTGAAAAAAGAAGACAAACTTATCAATTTTCAATATAAAATTGTTGTTTAAAAATAGTTAAAATGATGTTTCAAACAATTAAAACATAACAAAAATAATATTTCAACTAAAATATTCTATATCAACTAAAAAGTTTTATATCAATACAATCAAAAATAGAAACAAAGTTTTGATTTTTTAAAGTACATTTTCATCCTTGTTTCTTTAAGGCAGATAATAAATCTTATCCATGATTTCTTATCCATGATGATCAACTGCAACATCAACATACAAATTTAGGTACCCTTTGATTATTTTTGGGTCCTTAAAAGCTAGTAGAAACACAAGTCTCAGTCAAAAGACTAAGGATAAATAAATAACAATATGATATAATGGATTATGTAATTCTCGTAATCAAAAATTTTTTAAACTTTCAAAAGTTTGTTGTTATAATCGATTACGGAGAGTTCATAATCGATTATGACAGTAAGATAATTCATACGTATCAAGTTTAACCAACCATAATCGATTATGGTGTCTCATAATCGATTATTACAGAAAAAAAACATCTTATGAGAATTCATAATCTATTAGATGCTCAAGCTATCAATTTATGTTTGCCCCTTTGGGCACCCATTCATATTTACCATTAGATATACCAAAATGTTTTATGTAACATTTATTTGATGTATGACCTAATTTCATGCAATAAAAACATCTTGGTTTTCTTTGAAAATGTCTAAATGAGTTTCTTAAACTTTTTGAAATTGGTTTTACATCTGTTTTCCTTAACTCTTTCACAAAAATAATTTTATGAGGTTTTAGACTTTCCTTGGGTTTGTAACCAAGTCCAGTTTTACTAGAATCCCTTCTTTAATAACCTAATAAAGAATCAAGATTTGAAGAAGATTTGGAGAAATTGTTCATTATTTTCTTTAACTTGAAAATCTCATTTTCCACATGGTTACAATTTTCGCAAGGATTAGCTACTTCTTTATTTTTAGACAAAGTTTTAAATTTCTCAACATCTTTCTTTATGCATTCATTTTCTTTTTCAAAAATGCCAACAGTATTTTCTAATGCTTGAAATTTTTGTTTAAGAGCATTATATTTCTTAGCTAAACTTTCAAACTTTTCATACATTTCTTGATATGGTTCATGAAACTCATCATATGCATTTGAGGATTGTGTGTTACTTACTTGTGATGAGGCTTCATCATCATTTTTTGTCATCAAACAAATATTTGCTTATTCTTCTCCATCACTACTTTCGGAAGAGCTTTCTTGAGTAGTGGAAGAGTCATTTTCCTCCCAAGCAATATAAGCTTTGTGTTTGTTCTTAGATAACTTTTTCTCTTTCTTCTTTTCTTTCATATCTTTCTTAAGTTTTGGACAGTCTGGTCTAATGTGGTCAAGTTTTCCATATTCATAGCACTTGTTCCTATTTGTTTTCTCCTTTCTTTGTTGTCCTTTT